CCCTCAGTTCTGCATGAAGCCAGTAATAAAGTGCATTTCCTCAAGATTTGAGGTTGGACGAGATTCCCATCCGAGGCTGATTTTCTGGTTTCTGAACAATTTAGTTTTTATGGTGTTAGGTTAGCCTCACATCCAACACCCAACCTGGAGGACCAGGGCATTCCCTCTTCGTCTGGCTCCTACCCCTTGACCTGTCCTGCATGGGTGACCCTACCAGTAGCTACGCTACTGCCTACATAGCTCTCAGGGTCTCAGGAGCACTCAGACCTCACTACCACGATACCACACCATCGGTGGGGCTGGGACCTACCCACCCTCCTATAAAATGGATGCCGGGGGCTCTTTCCTCAGGAATAAACCAGCTGGAGCTTGAAGCTGCCCACTCACCTTTATCTAGGGCCGAGGTCAAGAATGGTGGAGCTAAATTTCCACTCCTCAAAAACGTCTTTATGGTGTAGTGCTTAATTTATTAAGCACAGGGACAATTTATTTTTTTTACCGCCATACATATTGCAAACAGAGAGGTAGGTAAATTATAGGAACAGACCGTCTTTTAGTTGCCCCGTTGTGAACTCTAATTTACACCATAAGCCGTAAGTTAACGATTTGTTAATAGTGGTAGGAGTAACTAAGTGTACCAGTGAATTACATGGATCATAAACGGTTAAACTGACATTACAATAGTGAGAAATGTTTTCTTTGCAAATGGTCAGTCCTCGGTGTAATGCCCACACAGTTGCAGTGTCAGCAACCCATTAGCTATGCATTTTATTCGCATTGTTCATAGAGTTTACTTAAGTTCATTTTTAAATCGGGACGCGCAAGTACAACTTCCTTTTGCTGACATTTCTCTTAATCGTTATGTAGATTTTGTTGAGCATTCAAACAACAGAACGTACACCACGCAATGTAATTCATTCGGTTCGAAATCGAATGCATTTCAGGAAAAAAAAATAAGAAATAAAACAAAATAAAACACCATTCCTTATTTTTTCCCTGTTAACTAAGGCCAGCAATGTTTATGCCCGTTATTGTCGTTAAGCCGCCTTTCAAGTACCTCCTTAGATATATCCAAAAATTATTCATTCGTTATTCTGAAGAATTCTCTGCCTTACAAGAAATTTCCTGACATTCACGGATGATAAACTCGAGACCAATACAGCGTTATTCCAAATGAGCAATAAATACTAATAAACATACACAGACATTTTTCATAATATTTTAGAGCAGCTCAAAGCGTTGTTTTCACAGTACCTCCCAGTATTTATTGTGGTATACCTCGCTCTACAGCCTGACCAATAACAAATCCTTGTTTCTACACTTACTACTGAATATTTTATTAGAAAGTAGCCTATAGCCTCATGTAGTGGGGGGGGGAAGAAACATTGCATCAGCTGACCATAACCGTGATCTTTCATAGCACAAATCATGCACTCACCTTCACCGCTGATGTAAAGTGACGTATACACAATAATTATTTAGTTTTTTTAGGGACCTTTTTCTTCCTTTGACGAATGCAACCGTCCGAATCTTCCCGGCCTTATTTTTAAACTTACACATAGTTGGTAGGGCTCCTTGCATGCTAAAGCAGATAGCGACAAGGCCGCTTCCAATGTCGGAAAACACAGACACACATAAAAACTCAAACATACACCCATTTCTCGAATAGAATTCGGACCTCACGGTTCCAGCTTTCGAGCGGGGGAAGGCATTTCGTTCCTTAGACCTCACGGCCACTGTGGCCGGCTTTTAGCAAACGCGTTGAAGAAAATAAAAGTGTATAATCATGATGACAACTCTAAAAACATACTTCCAGCAGTCTTATATCCCTACTTATAACGTACCAGTTGGATGTTATGAAATTATACTCCAACAAACCGCAGGACGCCGTTCACCTTCGCCAAGGAATCATCAAAACACTACTTGTACTCAAGCGAGTGGATTTAGCTAGGAAGTGTGACAGTTACTTCTCAGCTACAGACAAGATGGAGACGAAATTTTGGACAAAAATTCTTTTCAATGGAGCTTCCGAAATTACAATTTAAGACAGTAGCCATTGTTTTAATAATGCATTTAAACGTACGCTGGTCACGGTATCCGAGTGGTCTAAGGCTCGTTCGCTCGGAAGCCGGGATCGTGGGTTCGAATCCCACACAAGGCATGGATGTTTGGTATGTGTATGCCTTTATTCCGTGTTTGTGTTGTCCCGTATTTAGGTAGAGGCTTTGCGACGAGCTGATCACCCGTCCAAGAAGTCCTACCGTCTGTAAAATGATCATGAAACTGAGATGTGAGCCCTGTGGTCCAAACTGGGAGCATGAGGAGAGAAACGGCCGCGCCATAGCTCAAGCGGTTGGTCCCTGGCTTCCCACCTAGGCGGCCCGGGTTCGATCCCGGGTCTGGTCAAGTGAGATTTGTGGTGGACAAAGTGGCACTGGGGCGGGTTTTCTCCAAGTACTTCGGTTTCCCTTGCCAATCTTCATTCCACCAAATTCTCCATCATCATAATCCCCCAGGGCAGGTACAATAGGCCAATCAGCGGCCGCCGTGCCGAGTGTACCCAGCTGGAGTCCACCCCCCACTAAGCGAATTAAAAAAAAGAGGAGAGAAAAAATTAAAATGTACAGTTTTTTGTATCAGATCCTTCTTCAGTGAACATTTTCAAATATCATCGTGTTTATAAAATTAATTCTAGGGCACGGCCATCATGGATAGACAGGAGGAGAGAGAGAGAGACTTTGCCGACAAGTTGGTTATTGTTGATGTTTGCAACCTCTGCAGTTCTGATGTAGCGGGTATTTCACGTGCTGCTGCGCAAAGCAAAATCAGTTAACTGAAAATTCTCGAAGTTCGTATTGAAGAAATCGACTTTCGATTCGAGATCGATATATTTTTCTTCGAATCAGTCTGAAAATTCGAGACTAGCACATGCGTACCTTACTTACTTACTTTATTATGGAGCTAAGCCCTTCTGGAGGAGCCGCCAATTTTGCAGCTACTCAAGAATTTCCCAGCATTTTATGGAACCCGAAGGTTCATTACCGTGTTCACAAGAGCCCTCCACAGGTCCCTATCCCGAGCCAAATCTATCCAAACCATACCATCCCATCCTATCTCTCTAAGATCCATTTTAATATTGTCCACCCACCTACGCCTTCGTCTTCCCTGTGGTCTCTTTCCTTCTGGCTTTCCCACCAGTATCCTATACGAATTCCTCGTCCCCCCCATTCTTGCTACATGCCCTACCCACCTCATCCTCCTTGACTTGATCATTCTAATTATACTTGGAGAAGAGTACAAGTTATGGAGCTCCTCATTATGCAGTTTCCTCCAACCTCCTGTCACTTCATCTCTCTTCGGTCCAAATATTCTCCTAAACATCCTGTTCTCAGACACCCTCAGTATATGTTCCTCCCTTAATGTCAGAGACCAAGTTTCACACCCATACAGAACCACAAGCACATGCGTACCTTAGTCCTATTAAACCCCATATTTAACCGAACTTATGCTATGAGGGCCCCGAGGCCCCTCAGCGTAAATGAGTATTTGCGCCTGAATATAATACAAGCAGAAAAGTCTGTTACTAAACCCGGGATACAATTACTCAGAACTCTGAAGCACCACTCCACGTAGATATATTTGGGGTAGAAATATACCGAAATACTCTTGGCCTGTGCTCTAGATGGAGGAGAGTGGTCAGCATCACGCACCGACACCCCCCCCCCCAATACACATTGGATAGGAGGCTAAATTGGTCTGGAGATTATGAAAAATAGAAAAATCTCTTGCACCTGCAGATAATCAAACCCCGACCTTCCAGTTCTAGCCAGTGTTGATAGGGACCGAGATAAGAACTGAAATTTAATGAACAACAGATATTGATAAAATTGAACAGCAGTGTGTCAGGCTGCACGTGGGCTCATGATTGAAATCCTAAGATAACAGTAACCAGAAAATAAGACTATATGACTATATAAATAGATTTATATAAAGTTCTGACAGTTAAATAAATTTGATCACCCATGAGTACGCTATTAATATCATAAATTGTTGACATAGATACCAAAAGTGAATACGTCATTGCGTTAAGTAGTCCTCTCAGACTTCGCATCGTGTCCTGATTGCTACACAGAAATGGATTATACAAAGGAAAGTTTGGTATTCTTCTGGATTCAACCCCCCTTTTCCTGTCTTTCATGTTGATGCATCAAACATCTAAACAAATTTCATGCTTCTGACTTTCCAGGAATTAGAGTCTAAACTTTAGGCCTACTGTTGTAAAAAACACGGTTTAGTGTAAATGTTCAATACGGTAAAGCTATCCCTGTGCCGGTCACAGTAGCCGCGGGGTCTAAAGCATCATGAACTGTCTTCGCTCGCTCGGACTCTGGGATCGTGGTTCGGATCCCACTCATGGCACTGATGTTTAGTGTATGTATGCGTTTATTCCGTGTTTGTGTTATCCTATGTTTAGGTAGCGCCTTTGCGACGGGCTGATCACTCGTCCAAGGAGTTCTACCGTCAGTGGGAAAAAAAATTATTCTGGAACTGAATAAAAGGTCTGGGCCATGAATGGACCGGAAGAGCCTGTGAAAAAATTCTATCCCTGTAACAGGCCGTAGAGGCCCATAGGTTTGTGAGACGTCGAAACTCCCATATTTTCTCTAGACAACCGGCTCACAGAAGGTTGTGAGGTCAGCTGCCCTTACCCCCAGAAAGATTCCTGGTACTTATTCTGTTAGAGGTTGAGTCGAACCCTGGGCCATAGTGTGGCTGGAAGGATTAAGTAAATTGAAAAATTCAATGACCTCATTAGGAATCACACGCGACATTTTGGCTTGTAACATAGTGAATCAACCAAATACGCTACCGCGTGCCCCCTAAAATTCATTAATCAAGAAGGTGCTTATAGCTCAATTGAAGATTGTATCGTTAAAAGTGTAACTGGTTGTCTTCACTGCTGATGAAATTTTCCAAACGCCATATTATTTGTTTCACAGAAAAGAGCCACAAAAACGTGTTGACACCTATTGCCTGGGGGCCATGGCTGTTGCTATAGAAACAACCCCAGAGTTTCTACACACCAGTGAAGGACTACCAGAATTGAAGAAAGTGTTTGTAATAACGTAGAGAACATTAAGGTAAATTCCAGAAGGCCAGACTTTCTGGTCATAACATATATGTATATACTGTTCCTGGCTCCTCCTGTGCCATGGACTTGTCAATGTATGGAAGTACACAGTGCTAAAACTTGAGATACATCAGTAAAATTGTTGCTTCTATTCCAGAATAATTGGATACAGCTTGAACCTTACCCTCTACCTCCTTTAATTTCTTGAGATTGAACCTCTCCATATGAACTCTGTGCATTGTTTGTTTACTCACGGCCAGTCTCTCCCTAACTTTTCCCACCACCAAATAGTGGTCAGTATCACAATCTGCTGGCCTGAACGATCGGAAATCAAGTACACTTGAATACCCTCGACTATCTATCAAAATATGAACAATTTTATTGTGAGTCTTTTCATCAGGAGATGTCCAAGAAAATCTGTGAATGTTACAATGTGGGAACATCATCGTTTGACAGTAACATATTTGGATGTGGCACAATTTACCACTCTAACTCCATTATCATTACTACTTTCATGCAAACTCTCATTCCCAATTGTTAGTTTGAAAATATGTTCCCTACCTAATTCGGCATTGAAATCTCCTAACAAAATTTTCATGTGGTATTAGGGAAGTTATCGAATGCATGTCGTAGTTCTTCGTAGAACCTGCCCTTCATATCCTCTGTTGGGGCGTGAACATTCACAATAATGATATCACACCAGCGACCTCTTAGTATTATGTATGACATCCTATCATTAACGAACTCTACCCTCTTAACTGCTGATACGACTCTCTTATGTACGAAAAAACCTGTACCCAATTCATGGTTCTCATTCCCCATTCCATAGAAAAATGTATAGTCTCCTGCTGGTGCGGTGCCACCACCATCCCATCTGACCTTTTGTACCCCCACTAAATCTAATTTACATTTTGATATTTCTTTCGCAATTTTCATGACCGAACCTGCCCTATACACACTTTTTACATTCCACGTACCAAATCTCATGTCCATATTCCTAAGCTTAGGTGGTTTATCCAAGGAATTGGTCCAAGTCCAAAGCTCTTTGTGACATTTCGTAACTCATTCATGGAGCTGAACCCTTCTTGAGAAGCCGCCAGTCATATAACTACTCAAGAACTACCCAGCATCTTATGGAACCGAAAATTCATTACTGCGCTCACAAGAGACCTACACTGATCCCTATCCTGAGCCAGATCTATCCAATCCATACCCTCCCATCCTATCTCTCCAAGATCCTTTCTAATATTGTCCACCCACCTACGCCTTGGTCTTCCCTGTGGTCTCTTTCCTTCTGGCTTTCCAACCAATATCCAATACGCATTACTCGCCTCTCCCATTCGTGCTACATGCCCTGCCCACCTCATCCTCCTTGACTTGATCATTCTAATTATACTAAGAGAAGAGTACAAGTTATGAAGCTCCTCATTATGCAGTTTTCTCCAACCTCCTGCACTTCATCTCTCTTCGGTCCAAATATTCTCCTCAATACCCTGTTCTCAACCCCCCCCCTCACTCCATGTTCCTCCTTTAATGTCAGAAATCAAGTTTCACACCCATACAGAACCACAGGCAAAATTATAGTTTTGTATATTCTGATTTTTTATTTTTGGACAGCAGACGAGCAGACAAAGTTGTGGACCGAATGGTAGCAAGCATTACCCGAATTCAGTCTCTTTTTAATTCCCTCCTGAATCAATTTTCATTTGTTATCGTCGTTCCAAAATATCTTAACTGTGCCACATTTTCAAAACATCTGTTAGCTATAATATTATATTTCAGCATCTTGTTGCATTGAAGTATCACATGTAATCTTCTTCCATCGATAACTCAACAATATGAATATAGATTTAGAGGATCTTAATCAACACTTAATTCATTAAAATGTTCGTTAAAGTTTTTAAAAAGAGNCGAATTGAATTGAATTGAATTGAATTTAATTTAATTATGTTGATGTTATGGGATGTCTGTTCTTCCTATCTTTTGTAGTGCGGCCACTCTCAGAAGTCAACACACAACGAAACCAGACGCGGAAACGCGTGAGGTCGATATGCTCTAAACATAAGGGAAAACTGGCTCGCGAAAACGTAGAACAAACACTATACAATACAGCAACAATTGAATTCCGATCAGTGCAGCTCCCCCGACTCGTTTGTTTCACGGCGATGTGTGAGTGAGTTTTGATAACTGTTGTGTTGAGACAGGAAAAATTTAAAAGTAATTTATACTCAAATAATGCATTCCTTGGACATATAAGACGGTAACGGAAGATTTTATACATTGAAGAACCTTAGAACCATGCGCAGCCACAGATATCAACGTTGAAAGAGTTCCTATGTTGTATCACAAGTTTACAACCCTGAAGATGACACTGTAGATGTCGGGACACTACAGTTAAACTTCAGCTACATCAAGAATCTGTAATTGACTGTAATGTGGTATTCAACAACTCTATGGGTTACAACGGTGCTAAATTCAACCATAAAATGCTAATTAGTATCCGGAGGAAAATTAATATTCAAAGTTTAAAATAAGAATTATATTCGTAATCCAGCGTGTAGTACTCACTCAGATGTGCTGGATGCCGTGTGTACCTTTTCTCGTTGCCTCCTCACAAGCACTGCCGGTCAGTGCGCGAACACCACGAGAGATATTGGCGTCCTTCAAGCGACACGCTCGACTTCCTGGTCTGCTGAAAACTTGTTGTAGACCTTGAAGAGATGATCAGTTTATTGACCATTAATATGGGTTTTACTAGAAAGTAGAGTGAACAGTGGCCGCGGTGTCTAAGGCATGAACCGTCTTCGCCTGCTCTAACACTGGGATCGTGGGTTCGAATCCAGCTTCAGGCATGGATGTTTAGTTTGTGTGTGTGCGTTTCTCTGTGTTTGTGTACAGGTAGAGGCCTTGCGACGAGCTGATCACACGCCCAAGGAGTCCTACCGAATGTGTAATATCTAGAAAAACCGAAGTGAACGGAGAAGTTCATGGAGGTAGGCCTAGGCCCACTGGGGCTGTAGTGCCAAGGGGGGAAAAAATATGCCTAACTTATTCCACTAATGGCCATCAACCAAATTTACAAAAACGTTCTCTATTCTGGGACATTACGCCTTGTAGTCCGTTGAAAGTCAACGGACCTTGCGGAGGAACATGTCGCCTTCATCTTCAATATAGAAGAATAAACCAAGAAATAAACCAGCTCTGAAGAAAGGTCTGTACACCGGTTTTTTGCTTGGCTTGTTCTTCGGCCCTGAAGATGGAGGCGACATGTTCCTACGAAATGCCGGTTGACTTTCAACGGAGTGCATGGCGTTATACTCCAGAAGATAGAAATCTTCACACCCGCCTGTCTCAGAACCTAAATCCTACATTTACACAACTTTCACTTTGATACAGCGTGTGACTGCATTTTACAATTCATTATTACACACGCACACTAATATCCACGGTTACGTCTGCACAAGCCGTTGCTAGGTAACGGCTTCCAACGGCGGGCGTTCCCCTTCTTCTAGGTTCCCGAACTATCCCCGATCTCAGTTATTAGCTTCTCACAACAACAGCTGACAACGGCTGACCCTCAGCAGTTCTCTAAATCACTGACTGACTATGCCACCCACCAACCAACTCAACTCAACTGACTCAAAGTTAGAGTCATAGTCAAAGTTACATTGCGACTGACGGTCATTCAGTCAGTAAGTCTTGGTGTCGAGCCCCATTTGGGGCTCATGACCAGATATTAATTATTATCGTTTGACAGTTACGGTCTTGTTTCTGTGGGGCGCCTTCTCTGACGAGAGGACGGGTCTGTCTTTTGTATAAGCTGCTGGCCCTTGCCAGTGCAGTCTTCCTCGGGTCCGAGTCCCTTGGGACTCGCGACCATATTTTACTCTCTCAGAATTGAGACTTGACAGAGAGAGAGAGACACACACACACACACACAGACACACTTACGGATCATCTTCAGAGGGAACATCAATAATTATTCGGAAACCACCATCACAATAGGTGTTAATTGCTCAATTACATACACACATAATGCCTGGAATACACAATGTACACAATATTCAACTTTTCACAATCACAGCAGCCTTCCTGGTATTAAAACTTTTAAAGTGTTTAAAAAATTTACCTTACCTGGACTTAAATATATTTAATAGACACAGACAAATAGAAAAGGAAATATACAGAAAACCCACAACGACAGACATAACAATAAATAATAAATCATGCCACCCTAAAGAACAAAAATTGCCAGCATATAAAAATTGGATACACAGACTTCTTACACTACCCCTTGAGGAAAATGCTAAAAACAAGGAATTTAATACTATTATTAATATAACACTAAATAATTGCTATAGAAAGGAAGACATCACACATCTATATAACAAACTTAAGCGAAAGATCGGTAACCCGGATCTCACTGACTGTCCTGCTTATAACATCTCTTCACGGACCGCACAGAAAACGATGTTCCATTATTGAAGTGCAATTATTGCCGTGGAAATATGCCNCACATATACACGGTGCCAAATCCCAGAAGACTGCTTTCTTCATACCGATACTTAGCAACGGATGTTGCATAGCTGCTTCCTTTGCGGTCGCTACCTAGCAACGTGTCTGCGTGCCACTATATAAACCAAACTTACGCGACTCCTTATGGAGTGGGCATTAGCCCACCATTTTGATTGCAAATTTGTTTATGACGCTATATCAACTTCCGTACCACTTTAGATTTACCTGTAATTAATAAGAGGATAATTCTGTGAGAAATCGTAAGGAATTGTGTGTCTGTTTACAAGTGCAGGATTGTCTGGAATGAATTAGATACACCTCATTGAGATTAATCGGTGCATCTTCAATTATCGAATCGATAGTTCTCGAATGTAAGACGTGTTATCGCTACTCGACATCCTTCGATAGATTCGAGTTCTCGCAGGAAACTTCTTCAATATCCGTTTTCATATTATCAGCATATTTTTATTCCATGCACTCCATGTTCGGTTCTTTTGGTAATGGCATTTCATCTATATTCGTTGTAATTGTTATTGGTCTCTTTCGTCCCTTCGTTACGGATGTTATGCAACGCACAAAATTCTGCGAATAGTAAACACATTGTGCCTCTATGTCAACATAAAGCTTGACTAACAAGAACTGTACGTTCGCACGGCAGCTTACAGAGAAATATTCATACCTGAGGATAGCTGTAGTCTTTGTCAGTGAAGTTCTTGTCACCAATTTCCACAAAATCGATGGATGTATTCCCAAAGCAAGACTCTTCTGTAATGATAATTTGTGTTAGTATGACTTCGGAGAAAACTGCATAATGAGGAGCTTCATAACTTGTACTCTTCGCCGAGTATAATTAGAATGATCAAGTCAAGGAAAATCAGATGGGCAGGGCAGAAGAGGAATACATATGGGATATTGGTGGGGAAAAGGCCACTAGGGAGACCAAGAAGTAGATGGATGGATAATATTAAAATGGATCTTAGAGAGATAGGATGGGTTGGTATGGACTGGATCGATCTAGCTCGGGACAGGGAACAGTGGAGGGCTCTTCTGAACACGGTAATGAACCTTTGGGTTCCATAAAATGCTGGAAAGTTGTGGAGTAGCTGTACAACTGGCGGCTTCTCAAAAAGAGCTCAGCTGTATTAAGATACATAGTTTTAGTTAGGAATAATTGTGAATAAAAGAAAGCTGGAAAATATAATCCAGCTTCATAACGAAATAGCGGGANAGTAGCACCTGAAGATGGCATTTTTATGCCGAAACATGTAGTGAGAGTGAGAGAAGAAGATAGATAAGTGTATGCACTGCAAGACGGAATAAACAAATCATGAACTTAAATCAGTGCAACAGGACGCTAAAATATAACATTGAATAAAATAAAACTGGAAAATATAATCCAGCTTCATAACGAAATAGCGGGATGTGTTCACGTATACTGTGTCTAAGATAAGCCTAAATTTCAAACTAACATGGGATGAATAGACTTGTGTCTTCTGGGATATAACGTCTTGTAGTCAGTTGAAAGTCGACAGACGTTTCGGAGGAACATACCGCCTCGGAGCTTTGCTTGCTGCTTTCTTCATACAAGAAGCATGGCTTACTCTGGCTTGGAACCGACATGTTCCTCCGAAAAGTCAGTTGTCTTTCAACGGCCTACACCGCTTTACGTCACAGAAAACAGAATTCTTCACAACCACCTCTGTGAGAACCTCATACACTAAATTATGATGGGAATCGAGCTAATAGAAATAATTCATAACTCTTGAAGTCCTCGAGGAAGCTTCAGGGTGTGCGCTATTTGAGTACTTTCGAATCTTGTTTGATTTTTCTGCTGGAATTTGCCGATGTTTTGGGGATATTAGCAACCTCACGTCAAAAATTATGCTTTGGGCTGAATTACCATTACATTACCGAGAAAATTCACTTAAGCGGTAACGCTTCGATTTTTATTCAGGAGGTGTCCATCTCGAATCCCGGCCGGGACATACACTATTAATCCTGAGGGTTTTCATAGTTTTCCTCAGGCAATCCAAGTAAATGCCAAGATGAATTATACCGTGATCGCTTCCTTCCACATACTTTCCAATTCATTATTCACTAGACGATCATTTAACATATATTAGCGTCATTAAATAAACTACCAATAAATGAACATTTGCATCCTTTGAACAGACCGCTCTCCAGTATTCATGTTTTAAGAATACAAAGGACCAAAAAAATGGCCTTCGGAAAACACTGTATCTGGCTGTGCGCAGTCCGATGGAAGGGACAAGCGAGACGTAGCAATTGCTCATCTTCAACTTCATCTTATGATTCAAGGGTCTTTGCAACCGACGGAGGGCTACCGGAGCCGTCGCATCAGGACCTGAACCGCGGCAGGGAAGCCCGGACAGCCACAGAGCGACCAAGAAGGCCTCAGGGATACCTTGACCGCCGCAGACCTGCCTGGAACTCCACAAGCTTACATCCACCTGGAATACCACAGACTCGGCCGGATAAAACACAGAGCCACCTGGACGACTACACAGTTCCCCGAGCAATCGCAGAACTGTCTGGACAACGGCAGAGGGGTCTGACCCGTTGCAGAATAGCCTGAACTGTCACAGAGCGGCTCTGACCCATCGTCGTGATCAAATGTGGGAGACCCGAATAGCGCGGCCCGTGCGTAATTATTAAAGTGGCTTTTTGTATGGAAGTGTCCTTGCTATTTGCGGAACGGCCGAATTCCAAAAGGATGGTAAGATTAAATATTTTGATATTTTCGCATGAATCGTTTCAGTATGCCGCTGTTGCTGCTGGCTGTTGTGTACAAGGGAGGTGTAAGCATCGGAAAGTTCTGTGTTCTGCATTTCATAACAACAGCAGACACGTTAACGGAGCTTGTAATTTGTGAAGTGTAAAGCAGATGCAGCTTTTGGGGCATGGAACACAGCAGTTATGGGAGCAAGACCCAAGGAAATGCGGATGAAACAAGTAAATATTTGTTAAATATGTAAATTTATTTATTATAATCCATCACAACACAACAACAAAACTGTTAAACATCAACTGTTCGCCTTGTCCAGTATTGCGAACATTTGCATTTTCATCATTTTTTATGATTTCTACTTGTTGCCTGCGTAATTTTGTTATATAATCATATATGTACGGAAGTCTGAAAGCAAACCGGCATGCGCCTTGGAAAATTTCCAGTGGTGCAGAAAACTTTGTTTTGCAGGCGCTGCAATTTCAGTAGTAGGTTGTCTGCCGCAAACTCCCAGGCGGGACAAGCATAAGTCACCATACTCCTGATGAGTGCTTTGTAAAGGGTCAATTTAATATTAGTGCTTAATCGCTCACTTTTGAATAGGGAATTCATTCATTCATCAGTAATCTGTCAAGGTGACAGGTCCACAGTCTCTTCCAAAACAGTTCCTCCACTTGATGCGATCTAGAGCTTTCTCCTTCAAATGAAAATATCCTCTTCTGTCCCCAAGGTCATCCCGCATCTTCTTACGTCTTCTTCCTCGTCTTCTGGTCACTTCTATCCGCCCCTCTATCTTTCCTTCAATAACTTCTTTTAGAAGGCAGTTACCGCGTAAGATATGACCAATCCAATTAGCCTTCCGTTTTCTTATTTCGTGTAGGATATTCCTCTGCTCACTGACTCTAAATAACACTTCTTCATTTCTCACATAATCGGTCCAACTGATCCTCTCGAATATGGAATATACAATCTAATGAATGTTCTGAAGGCCTTGGCTTCGATCATTTCTATGTGTAATCTCCATGTAACTCTCTTATCGAAGATTACACTGAGATATTTTACACTATTTACAAATGGGATGTTTCGTCCATTCAGTGTAAGATGGGACTCAGGCGGTCGATCTGAAGTCGACTTCTGGTTTCGGTTCTGCAGATATAGCGTCCGAACGGACCCAACAGGAAACATCGCTTCCACCGAGCTCTTCTATTGTTGTGTGGGTGTCTCTTGCGGCTATCACGTGACGGCTACTGAGCCATTGCTTAGCAACGGGCGTGTTTACACGGCCGTTCCATAGCAAAGTCTGTCTCCGCCGGCTTCCCGATTATGGTTTTTATCAGACATGACACAATACATTTAATTTATTCCAGAAATTGATTGCTGGGAAACTGAAACTAGCTCATTAGGAGATACTTTCAGTTCGAACGGCACTTCCGCTCCCGTAGACATCAATTTCCTCTTGAAATTGAACATCTAAATTTTATTCATTCGCAACTGCGACAAATGTGTTGCAACAGGGATCCTCAATATTGCCCTCGGTCTGTCTTGGTGTAATAACAGATCGTATAAACAACATAGCACCGAAGTGGGTCAAGTCCCAAGGTAGCGTGGAGGCTGCTCTCCACCATCGCCGAAGAGAATTTTCTATATCTTTCGAACTATTTGTGGAATGTGCCTAACAAATTTTTCCATTTGGCCTCGACAGCCTCCACTTCACATGAAGAGAGACAGAAAATAATTCATAAATAATTTTCTTGCTGCAAATATCTGTCTATAGGGATATAGGTCAGATAAACTGCTTATTTATTCAGGATGTCGAGAAGTGCCATGACTGCAATATTGTGCAAGTATTTGAAGCTACGTGGGGCACGCTGTAGCGTAGCATTATGCTACAAGCCGGAAAGTCGCGGGTTCAAGTCCCAATGAGGTCCTTGTATTTTTTCAGTTAACCTAATCCTTCCAGCCGCATTATGAGCCTGGGGTCGACTCAGCCTCTAACAGAAATAAGTACCAGGAATTAATTAAATAATTTTCCTGGGGAGTAAAGCGCGGGCGGCGCGTAAGGCTGATAACCTTACCGCCATCTTTGAGCCGATTGTCTAGATAATGTGGGACCCTCAACGTCTCACAGCCCTATGGGCTTTCACGGCCTGTTACTTTTTTGATTTGAAGCTACGTGGAAAAGGTTACAGAAACAGCACATGTTAAAACCCAGAGTTGTATTCATTGAGAAAACTGCAGAAGACTTCTGGGACACAGGTTAGTTTCCCAATTGCATCGGGTATATTGAAGGTGAATATATGTATACTCGTATATAGGAATAAAACGCGCACGGAATTTCGTCTCCACCTAACACTGTTACATTGCCTGCTTGCGCCCACAGATGCGAATTAGAGGATCATCACCGTGAATCTTTGTTCTTTTGGAAAAGGCAGTAATGATGGCGTTTTTGATAACAGCACTGCAGTCGCACATTTACATAAGGAAGAATACAGATACCAGAAGAAAAGTTGTTGCTAGGTTCAACGAAGAAAAAATATTTTGTTTTCCTTGGTGACGAAACCTTTCCTCTCACTGAGCAGAAGACCGTTTTCACGAGGGCATATGTGTCACCGCCAAAGAAAAACAGTGCATTATTCAGAATAACTGTGTTTGCAAGGAACAAGTTTTGAAATGTTTGTTTTAAGTTCCGTTCTTTGGTGCTTACATAATTCAGTTTCAGTACTGCATTTACTTCATTATTTCTGATATAGAAACAAATATTACTCATAACGTTAAAAATTTCTTACTTGTTCCTCATTTCCTTCAGTGTAACCAGGTTGTTCAAGCGAAAGTCAGTAATGCAGTTTGAAAAAAAAAATATTTACTTCTTTCTTCTACATTTCTTTTGATCTTACTCTGATAACTGCTGTGTTCCATGCCCCAAAGGCTGCATCTGCTTTACACTTCACAAATTACAAGTTCCGTTAACGTGTCTGCTGTTGTTATGAAATGCAAAACACAGAACTTTCCGATACTTACACCTCCCCTGTACACAACAGCGGCATACTGAAGCGATTCAAGCGAAAATATCAAAATATCTGGGCTACGGATTGGACGGCCTGGCTTCGCTTCCCATCACTGCAAGATTTTTCTCTTCTCCACAGCGTCCAGACCGACTCTGGGACCCACCGAGCCTTCTGTCCAGTAGGTACAGCAGGTTCTTTTCTCGGGGGTAAAGTGGCAGGGCTGTGAAGCTGAGCACTCACCTCCATCTAGTGCCGGGTTCGAGAACCATGTAGCCATAACTCCACTCCCCAATACGTCCTCGTGGCAGACTGCTTAACTAATAAAGCACAGGGACTTAATCTTTTTTTACATTCAGCTGCTGCTGTACGCCCACTCAGCAAAACACCCATAAACTGAAGAAATCTGCACCATGAAATTTGTTTTGTGCTGTATAGTATCACTGTCGGACACATAAGCCTCTCTGCGTGTCGATTTGATCTCGGCGCTTGTAATGCGATGAAAGTTGACTCTTCCGTGTCCACACGACTCTGCCACTAGTTGCTAAAAGAAAACAAACTCCGTGATTTTAGTCCGCAAGCGAACTATACCGACCGAGCGACCGCCGCTTGCCGGCGAAGTTAGTGCCAACTTTAGCCGATAGAGGGTGTCTCATGGTCAGTCCAACGAATCTCCACGGCCGTCAATTTCGGTTTTCTAGACCGGAGCCGCTACATTTACATTCAAGTAGCTCCTCGATTATCATCACGAGGCCGAGTGGACCCCGTTCTAGACCCACTACTTCTCAGAAAAAATCAGGTAGCGCCGGGAATCGAACCCGGACCTCTGGATCTGTAGCCAGGAACGCTAGCAACTAGACCACAAAGGCGGTCTGCCACTAGTTGTTATCCTAAGCTGTCGGACCACCCCTTACCGGCTGTCCGTGACTGCTCCTTCAGCACATTCGCAGCTCTCTTCCAAACCCAATCTAAGGACGCGTCATGAAGGGGTGAGGTTAGAGGAAGATGGCTCAAACGAAAACCCTTGTAGTTGAATTCGGGAGGTGCCCGAATCGAATCTCTGTTGGAATTAAAATTATTCTCAATTTGTTCGTGGTCTTCCACAGTCCCTACTGGCAAATTCTGGGATGATGCCACAAATTAGGCTACAGCTGATTCTTTCCACGTTCACTTCAGTTGAGTATTCGTTAATCGTCCAAGCATTGGGCGCAATATACGAGGGCTCAAAGACAGAAGAGACGGCCGTTGCTTGTCATAGAAGATTTTACAGAGGACCCTAACCTTAAGTGTTCAGTTGAAAAAAAAAACTGGGCGCTAGTCTCTAGGGGCTTGTCGCAAAGACGAACTTATTGACGGTAAACCTCCAGTCGTAAAGTAGCTCTGCCTCTGACCTCTGGATTAGGAAGTCATGAATTGCCGTCATGGGTTAGATGTGCGAGGGTCGCCAGCTAGCAAGTACAGGAGGCGTTGAGCAATGGTAGCAGAGGATAGTGTTGGTAGCAGTTACCAGGCAACGCATAATTAAGACATAGAAGACTTATTGCGCGCTATAGTGAACTGTTAAGAGTGTTCATTAGAGATAGAGTTATAATTAATTGATGTTACAATTTGTAAGAGTTCAGTATTTTTTTTATTTCTAGTGGGATGGGACTAAGTCCCTTGTACTGCGGCCATTTCTGACATAATGTACCAGCCCCAGATGATAGGTGAGGGTGATTGTGGAGCAGTTGGCGGAATGAAGATTGGCATGGGAAAGCGAAGTACTAAGAGAAAACCTGCCCCAGCACCACTTTGTCTACCACAAATCCCGCTTGACCAGACCCGGGATCGAACCCGCGCTGCCACGATAGGAAGGCAGCGACTAACCGCTTGAGCTATGGCGCGAAGAGTTCAGTAAATCCAATTTCCAGTCTAATCCCGGTGTGTAGTCACTAATTAAATGAAAATATAATTAGAATTAACAGGTAAGGAGGACGAGATGTGCAGGACAAATAACATGTACGGGGGGGAACAGCAATGCGTACCGTGTTTTGGTGGGAAAGTCAGAAAGATATAGACAACTAGGAAAACCTAGAC